AGACAGAAATCATAAGTAGGCAGAGAGGCAGGCAGGGGTGGGGGGTGGGGAGCAGGCTCCCTGCTGAGCAGAAAGCCCGATGTGAGGCCTGATCCCAGGACCCTGGGATCATGACCTGAGCCGAAGGCAGAGGCTTTAACCCACTGAGCCACCCAGGTGCCCCTGATTTGGATCTTTACAGTACTTAAAAGAATCAAAGTTTAACAAGGGATTTCATTCCTTGAATTGAAGGATATGGAAGGATAGAAACAAAATAGGAAGTGAGACTGGTGGCTGAAATATTTCAGAGAAGAATAATCAAATGCAAATTCAAATCTGGTCATTTGGAATCTTTTTTTTTTTTAACATCTTAATTTTACTTTATTTTTTTCAGTGTTCCAAGATTCATTGTTTATGCACCACACCCAGTGCTCCATGAAATACGTGCCTTGCTTAATACCCACCACCAGGCTTACCCATCCCCACACCTTCCTCCCCTCCAAATTCCTCAGTTTGTTTCTCAGAGTCCACAGTTTCTCATGCTTCATCTCCCCGTCCAATTTACCCCAATTCACTTTTCCTTTCCTTCTTCTGATGTCCTCCATGTTATTCCTTTGCTCCACAAATAAGTGAAACCATATGATAATTGACTTTGAATGGACAATGTGTGCTCCCTGTTATTTAGCTTAATTCAAGGTGTTCTTTAACTTTCATCCTCAGTTTTGAAAGAGTTCTGGTTCAGAGAGACCATTCCTGAAACCACTAGTGTTTCCGCAGGCAATAGAGAAAAGTCCACCCTGTGGGACAAAATATTTTTTAGGCAGTCTTTGCTGCCCTTTTCAGGCCTTTATACCCATAGCCAAACCCTCAACAGTTTTCATGTTTCCAACAAGAACAATCCTCGTTTTTTAATCTAGGGAAGCACACACTTCAGAGCAAGACATAATAAACACTATTGAGTTATGTGAAAAGGTTATTTAATGTAAACCCGAAGGGAGGCTTAAAGTTAGTTTGGATGCCTAGTTAGATGTTTTGTTGTAACTACATAGGGCATGCATATGGTAAATTGCCAAAATTTGCTAAGGATCACATCATGTCCCACAAGATCATGCTTGCAATAACTACCAGAATCTCCAACAAAATCACTAGAATCTAAAACTTGCTCAAGCTATTCCTTGGGAATGGGCAGCCTAACAATGGTCTAAGTGATATGTGATCACCTCCCCTCACTGGACTGAAGTCCTGATTTTTCCATTGTATGCATTACAAGCTCTGAATTGAAATGAGGGATATGGTGGTTTTATATCCTGAAAGACACTATCCAACTACTATTTTACTTTGCAGACCATCTTCCACATCTAATAACCATGTATGTGGGCAGACATACGTTCAGAAACATAAGTGGCTGCTTGGGAAAAAAATGCAACAACAATATTGAAAACCCATATATGGTCAATTTGCATATGTCTTATTCCTTCTCTCCTAATTTCTCATGGTACAATAGTCTTTGCTTGAAGTGGCAAAGAAGAAGTCAAACTCTCACTCTTCACAGATGATATGATACCCTGTGTTGAAAACCCAAAAGACTCCACCAAAAAATTGCTAGAACTGATACAGGAATTCAGCAAAAAGGTAGGATATAAAATCAATGCACAGAAATCAGTTGCATTTCTTTACACTAACAATGAGATAGAAGAAAAAGAAATTAAGGAGTTGATCCCATTTACAACTGCACCAAAACCCATAAGATATCTAGCAATAAACCTAACCAAAGAGGCAAATGCTCTGCACTCTAGAGACTATAGAACATTTGAGAAATTGAGGAAAACACAAAAAGATGGAAAAACATTCCATGCTCATGGATTGGGAGAACAAATATTGTTAAAATATCTATACTACCCAGAGCAATCTGGGTACACATTCAGTGCAATCTCTATCAAAACAGCATCAACATTTTTCACCAAGCTGGAACAAACAATCCTAAAATTTGTATGGAACAAGAAAAGACCCTGAATATCCAAAAGAATGTTGAAAAAGAAAACCAAAGTCGTGGCATCCTAATCTTGGACTTCAAGCTCTATTACAAAGCTGTAATCATCAAGACAGTATGCTACTGGCTCAAAAACAGACACATAGATCAATGAATCCTCAACTCTATGGTCAATTAATCTTTGACAAAGCAGGAAAGAATATACAATGGGGGGAAAAAAAGAGTATCTTCAAAAAACGGTATCAGAAAACTGAACAGCCACATGCAGAAGAATGAAACCAGACCATTTTCTTACACCACAAACACGAATAGATTCAAAATGGATGAAAGACAGAAATGTGAGACAGGAATCCATCAGCACCCTAGAGGAGAACACAGGCAGCAACTTCTATGACCTCAGCTGCGGCAACTTCTTGTCACATCTCCAAAGACAAGGTCCCTATAAGGACATCATCAAAATAAAAAGTTTTTACACAGTGAAGAAAACAGTCAACCAAACCAAAAGATAACCAACAGAATGGAAGATATTTGCAAATGTCTCATAAGGTAAAGGGCTAGAATCCAAAGTCTATAAAGAATTTATCAAACTCAACACCAAAAAAACAAATTAACCAATCAAGAAATGGGCAAAAGAAATAAACAGATATTTCTTCAAAGACAATGTACAAATGGCCGACAGGCATATGAAAAAATGCTCCACATCAGTTGTCATCAGGGAAATACAAATCAAAACCATAATGAGATACCACCTCACACCAGTCAGAATGGTTAAAATTAACAAGACAGGAAAAAACAGGTGAGAAGGTAGAGAAAGAGGAACCCACTACACTGCTGGTGGGAATGCAAGCTGATTCAGCGACTCTGGAAAACAGTATGGAGATTCCTCAAAAAGTTACAAATATCTTGGAATGCTGCATCAAAAAGAAATGATGTATTTTATGGTGACTAACATAACACAATTTAAAAAAAGGTTACAAATAGAGCTATCCTATGACACAGCAATTGCATTACTAGGGATTTACCCCAAAGATACAAATATAGTGATCTGAATGGGTGCCTGCATCCCAATGTTTATATCAGCAATACCCACAATAGCCAAACTATGGAAAGAGTCCAGATGTCCCATCAACAGATACTGAATCTTCTTTATCCATTTATCTGTCGATGGACATCTGGGCTCATTCTCCACCCCAATGCAAATGGCAAGATTTCATTTTTTTGGTGGCTGAGTAGTACCACCAAAAAAAATGAAATCTTGCCATCTGCAACAAGGTGGTTGGAACTAGTGGAGATTATGCTAAGTGAAATAAGTCAATCAGAGAAACTGATATGTGGAATTTGAGAAACAAAACGGAGGATCATGGGGCAAGAGAGGAAAAATAAAATAAGACAAAATTAGAGAAGACAAACCGTAAGAGTCTCTTAATCATAGGAAACAAACTGAGGGTGGCTGGAAGGAAGAGGGATAAGGGGATGAGGTAAGAGGGTGAAGAATATTAAGGAGGGCATGTGATGTAATAAGTGTTAGGGTCCGTGATCAAAGGAACGAGACTGATGCAAAGCGAAAATCAAGCAAAGCTTTATTTCGTGCCAAGCATCAAAAACCAAACCGACCAGTAGGGGCCATCTCTTACAAAGAGGCGACGAAGACGAGGATGACAGCCCCAACGATGCAGACTCTGCTCCTCCGATGAGGCCGTTTCCAGGACGAGGCTGCTCCCTGACGGCTACACTAATAACTACGAACCCAAGGACGCCACTGGTGGTGGCAAGGCCACTCCCAACGACTATCACCCAACGACTACCCCAACGACTACTACTACTACTCCCCCCCCCCCCACCCAGCCTCACAGACTAACCTTTATAGAGGTAGTTGAGCCCGGCTCACACACCGGTGGCCAAAGAGATTGCAACACACAGGGAAAACTGCATAGTCATGTTCCATCAGCAAGATGAGTGACCAATTGAATTTCAATTCACCACAGTAAATATATGTGTGCCCCACTGATTGGATGTCTCCATCCGGCCTGGCACGCCCCTATATCCAGGGTTTGCAAGTGAGTTCCTCTGGGAGGGGTGGGGTCAATCTAAGTTTACAACCAAAGGGCTCCCTCTGGCTAACCAGTCCCCTACATTAAACACTGGGTATTATATAAGACTGATAAATCACTGACCTCTACCTCTGAAACTAATAATACATTGTGTTAATTGAATTTTTAAAATTTTTTAAATTTTTTTTAAAACAATAGTCTGCTCAATTTATTAAGTTTAAATTTGCCACACCTATTACAGATTTATTTGTTCTCCTTCATTCTCCTCCCCAAAATAACAGACAATTATGACTGATCAGACTCACTTTCTGAGTTTTGCTGTCCCAAGCCTCTGACACAGTTTGATACTTAATGCCATAGGAGCGTGCATGTTCTTCACTACCTAGACTCAAGAGTTATGAGGAGCCTTCAAATCCACTTTAGAAGTAGGAGTTTCTTGGGCCCTTTTCCACCTGGGAAGGTAAAATGGAGAGGATACAGGAGTTCTAGACTCCCTACCTCCACTTTTAGGCAGTTTTATTTTCTGTACTGCGCTTTTTAATAAATTTATAAATTAGTACAAAGGGTTCAACTGATTTTCAAGAGTTTGGCAATGCTTGGTGAGGTGCAAAGAAGTCCATTAGAGAAGTCAGACTTGTTTGAAGGCTGAGACCTACCCCCTAATGCGGCAGAAGGAAAAATAATCTCTCTCTCATAATAAGCTGCACCCTGCACACCTCACATGTTCATTGTGACATGGAAACACCACCAAGAGTGTGGCAGTCATTACAGCTGAGCCCAAGGTTCCTTCTGCCGCTGCCTTTGGTTCGGAAATCCCGCCTCCTCACCACCAAGCCAGCAGGGACAGGCCCTGCCCCCACCCAACTACTCCCTATCCTCACCCGGAAGTGGACCCGTTGAGCGGAGGCATCCATTTCCATGTCAGAGCAACGTCAGAACAACCAACTACCTGCTAAGGAGGCTGTTCCACCCCCTAAGATATGGATCCATCATTCCCAGAGCCCCACACCACCAGCCAAGAGTTGGACCCCACAGGTATAGATTTCAACCCTGTTGGCCAAGATTATTTCTCTGCTGGCTACGTGTACGACTTTCTGTACCAAGAACTGGACCTGGACTCTCTTCATGAAGATCTTTCCCATTCCATGCCAGGCACCATGACGGTGACCTCAGCAAACACACATGAATCCCACCTGAGTGCTGAACCAGAGGATCTCAGAGAAGCTGAACGAAAGGAGCTCAAATCCGAGCTCACTAAAGTGGAAGAGGAAATTATAATGCTACGCCACGCTCGGGCAGCCAAAGAAAGATGTTGCATGGAGCTCAAGAGGAAGCTGGGCCTCATAGCCTTGGTGGGGCTAAGGCAGAATCTGTCCAAAGGCTGGTCTCATGTTCAAGTCTCCAGTGTTTACATGAAACAAAAGACATCAGCTGCCCTGTCCACCATGGGTTCTGCCATTTGCAGGAAGCTTGGAGACATGAAGAAGTCAGCCACATTCAGATCTTTTGAAGGTCTGATGGGGGCAATCAAGTCGAGTTGCGGGTGACAGAGAGTTTAGCAGTAACTGCCTTCCTTCTTCAGCTGGGAGTGGAGATGATTCGATCCTAGCTTCAGGGAGTAGGGACGATCCACTTCCACTTTCCAGGAGTGGGAATGATCCAGTTCAGTGGAATGGAGTCCATCTGGTTCCGAGGAGTAGAGATGATCTGGTTGCAGGCAGTGGGCATGACCTGCTGCCCTTTCTGGAGCCGGAATGAACCCCTTGGTTACCTTGCCTGGCCACCTAACTAGTGCAAGAACTCCTTTTCCTCATCACAATTGCGACTCTGCCTATCAAAAACAACTAAACCACAATGTTAAAGTTAATTCAGGAAATGGACAGAGGCCAGTTTTGAGAACAATAATTCCCATTTGTATATATGTATTTACTGTTGTTGAGATAGAGACCCCAACATTCTGTACCCAGTTATTTTACACTAAAGTTAGTAGATGAAATGTATTGCTGTACTAGCCTTCTGGAGTTGCATTTAAATGGACAGGACAATGGCTTCAGAGAGATCTTGGGCCTACCCCCACTCTTTTTCAGAAAAACTACTCTATTTATAATGCCAAAGGGGCTTTCTTTTTAAAACTGGAAAAAGGTATGAAATAATCTGTAATTTTATCCCCTCCTCATTTCCTTCCTGCCCTAAATCTCAAAATAAATCTTGAAGCTCTACCTGGCCTACAATTTTTACTTTAAAAAGGATGATCAAGAACACTCCTTTCCTCTGAGACCCTCAGAAAGGAAAAGTATTAGTAGATTAGTTTTTACATAATATTTTAGCTTTTAAAACTTGATTTTTTTAAGCTCTTAATTAAGCAAAGTAACTTTAGCATCAATTTAGGGGATTGTTACTTTGGACTCAAGCTGAAATTGCAACTTTATTTTGCCTTGTGCTTCTTAATCTTTTTATGTATGGAAGTTTAACTGTTGAAGCAGCATGTGTCTACCACAACAGCATGCCACCTAAAAGAAAAAAAAATGGTTCTCTGTTCTGCAGCAATTCCTAGTTTGTTACTACCTCCAGCTGAGGGGCTAGAAGGAAAACAGCATAGCCAAATTCAAGAAAGATAAACCCCTGTCTTAAGCAACAATGCAACATTTAAAACAGAATGCTCATTTCCTGTAATGCTGGCCCTTATGCCTCTGAGGGTGCTTAACTGATTTTATACATCACTGGTGTCTTTGACTCCCAAGTCTGTCCTCTTTTAAAACTGACCCCAACTGAGAAGGAAATACAACTTGAGCCCTCAGGGGATTTGGGGAGGGGTGCATAGGGAAGGGATTCCTTTTCCAATTTCAAAATGCCAGACCCAGCAGCTACTTTCACTCCTCCAGTCACATTGCCTGAAATAGAAGTCTGTGTCTTTTTAATTTTCAGCAGGGGTATAGGACCTTTATTTGCTTGGGTATATATTATAACATGTCACCACCACCTAAAGGTTGTCCCTCCAATCTAAGAAGGTGATCCTGTTTTGTTGATTCTTAAATGCCTCCCTATTCTTTGGTTTTCCTTTAAGCAAAACCAAAAACCACAGTAAACGCAAAAACATTTGGTAAACTATAAAGCCACCTGTGTATCTCAACCCTCCACAGATTTCTAAACATAAAGTTTTGCTTGGATTAAAACAAGATATTCCACTGTTTACATGTTTGTTTCTTACTTTGTAGTATTCATCAACCAAAATGTTTTTTTCTGTGCTAAAGAACTAAACACAAACTTGCAACATACATAAAGTAGCCCAACAGGCAAAAGCTTTGATCTCATACTGTAGAAATCCTGGTGTTAGGGAAAATCTCAGGCTGACATCCTGGGCCAAACAGAGAATATGTTCTATTTTATTTAATAATTCAAGCAAGTGTAGTAACAGTTTTCCCCAATAAATCTTCAACTCCCTAAGAGCAGTAAAGAAATATCTCTTTTTATTCATCATTTTATTCCCATGCCTGGCTCTAGAAACACTTGCTGAATTAATGAAGGAATGAATATCACATATTTTAGACATTGAATCTTGGACCCAAAAGTTTATCAACAACATGTTGACAAGTTCCTCCCACTTTTAAACAAAGCATTTTGCTTCACTATTCAAAGATAATTTAAGGGTCACCTCAGTGGCTCAGTCAGTTAAGTATCTGCCCTCAGCACAGTCATGCTCCTAGGGTACTGGTATTGAGCCCCACACTGGGCTCCCTGTCCCCAGGGGATTCTATTTGTCCCTCTCCTTCCCCCCTGCTCTTGTGCTCTCTCACTCTCTGTCTCAAATAAAATCATTTTTAAAAAGTGATAATTTAAGACCCTACCATGTGTCAGGCCTGGTGCCAAGCTCTGAAAGCACTGAAATTAAGCATGGTCCATGCTTTTTAGAAATGGATTCTCAAATCACTATGATTCCCTGCAGTAGGTACTACAATAGGGGAAGTCTGTGAAGAAAGTGGTTTCAACTCTGTCTCGATAGAAAGATTTCAAAGACTCACAGATTTCAGAGAGGCAGAAAGTCATAGAATACTAGCAGGAATTTGCAAGACTGATAAGTGTAGAACACTCCAGATAATATCTGGAAAAACTAAGTCATGTAGGAATGTAATAGAATGGCATGTTCCAGGAAATACCAATAAGTCATTGGGTCAAGAGAGAGACGAGAGTAGAGAAATAGCATGGGGCAAGATCATAAATAGTTTTATATGCTCTCAGTAATTCTGTAGGGAATAGAAAGGCATTGAAGGTACTTAAGTCAAATGAGTTTTAGATCACTCTGGTCATTATAGAAATAGATTGAGAAGTATTAAGAGATAGAATCTCTGACTTAGGAAACAACTGCAAAGGAGAGAGGGATGGATAAATTTGCAAGTTGATAAGGATGTAGAATTAAAGAGTTAATACTAACAATAATGGAGCTGTGAAGTTTTGTTTTGGCCCTTTTATTGGATTTCAGCATACCTGCATCAATAGTCATGGACATTAGATAAATGATCTCTGTGAACACTTGGATACTGGATTAAAGGTTTCCTCCAGACTTCCTTTCTTCTACTTGGTTCTACTCTTCTCATGTGTTGCTTTTTCTCATTCTGTAATCTATCTTCATAATTTGATCCCTTCTGTTCATCTAGCCCTATCTGGATCTTGTAGCCTAGCTTCAGTCTATTTAACTTTAACGTGACCGCTTTAGGATGCAATTTCCTCTACTTCCTCTATTTAACTTTAACGTGACCACTTCAGGATGCAATGTGAACCTTCAAAGATGCCCATTCCTAGGTCTGGCTCAACTCCCAAGAACCATTGGTTGAGAGGGATATTGGAACAAAATTCCCTGAGGCTCTGTTTTCTTGGTCTTCCACTGCCCATATGAGTGTAGGGGTTGGGATAGAAGGTGGAGACAGGGTCAAAAGTTCTAATTCTCACAGATGACACTTCACATGCAACTGGTAGGATGGGAGTAGAATACAAAGCCCTTGTACATTAGCATCATACACACCCACAGCAAATTGCTAACATCATTCCTAGAGAAATTGACCAGCAACTTCTGGAGGATACTTTACTTCTAAGCTCCAGATTTGACAGAAACTATATCACACACTTATTCTCATGGTTTACATGAACTGCAGAGAAGTGAGCAGTGACCTCTGGCTCATAACTTTGTAGGTCTTCTGATAATGATAGTCAATGTTCTTGATGGTTCTACCCATCAAGGAGAGGGTGCCACGTGTGGATTCTGCCAGGATATGAGGTCAGTTTTATCTGGACTATGAACGTATAGTTCTTGCCCATGAACTCCTATGTAAGAAAAAAGTATGAGTGCCACTCTATCAAAACTACTGGAGCTGGGCCTCCTGGGTGGTTCAGTTGGTTAAGCATCCAGCTCTTGGTTTTGGCTCAGCTTGTGATCTCATGGGTTGTGATGTTGAGTGCTGGGTTGGGCTCCATGCTCAGTGGGGAGTCAGCTTGAGAATTCTCTCCCTCTGCCCTCCTCCACCTCATCTCAAATAAATAAATCTTGAAAAAAAAAAAGAAACTACTGGAATCTTAATGCAGTCATCAGATCTGAGATCATGCCCCATTCCGGCTAACTAGAGACGTGGTGGGAAACTCAGTGATACCACAACTTCTAGTGTCCAGAGCCTCATTCACATAAGCCAAGAGATGAGTGGAAGAATGCCTTACAAATAATGGCCAGCTAGTACAAGCACATTATCCTACAACTTGATAACCTCTCAAAAATTACTAAGCAGGTCCCAGTCTAAAATGCCTGGCAATTCCTGAGAGTTCACCAGGTAATTTAAAGGTTCATTACCTGTTTATTTCTACTACCATTTAAATAATTGACCATCTTAAGAAGAGGAGTGGGTTCTTCTGGAAGTTGAAGGTTTTGATGACCTCCACCCCAGTCCTGGCTACCCTGCCTTAGACCCATGACTCTGAAAGCAATGCATCCAAGATAGTGCCACCTCTCCAAGGATACTCTCCTCTTTTCTCTCTCCTACTCCCAAAACTTGAAGCCAATTGGAGAAGAAATAGTTACCTAACTTAGAGGAAAAATTCATAGACTTGTCTGAGCTAAACTTTCTTTTTAGAACATTAGAACTAGGAGACAAGACTCAGATGGGAACTGGTCTGTACAATCATACACATGTAGGCTTTACTGCTAGGACAAAGAGGCTCCTTACTTACAGAGGAAAGCCCATCAGAATAACGTCAGACCTGTCCACAGAGACCTGGCAAGCCAGAAAGGGCTGGCAAGATATATTCAGGGCATTAAATGAGAAGAACATGCAGCTAAGAATACTTTATCCAGCAAGACTGACATTCAAAATGGATGGAGAGATAAAGAGTTTTCAAGACCAGCAAGGCTTAAAAGACTGTGCAACCACCAAGCCAACACTGCAGGAAATATTAAGGGGGGTTCTATAAAAGAGGAAAAATCCTAAAAATAGCATTGAACAGAAATGTAGAGACAATCTATAGAAAGAAAGACTTCAAAGGTAACACGATTTCAATAAAAAAGTATCTATCAATAATCACTCTCAATGTGAATGGCCTAAATGCACCCATAAAACGGCACAGGGTTGCAGATTGGATAAAACGACAGGACCCATCCATATGTTGTCTACAAGAGACCCATTTTGAACCTAAAGATACACCCAGACTGAAAGTGAAGGCATGGAGAAGCATCTTTCATGCCAATGGACCTCAAAAGAAGGCCGGGGAAGCAATTCTCA